ACACCAGTGGCCTGCTGGAGGTCATTTTGTAGGGCTCTGGCAGTGCTCATCCTGTTCCTCCTTGCACAAAAGAGCAGATACAGTCCTGCTGATGGATTAAGGACCTTCTACGGCTCAGTCCAGCTCTCCTAGAGTAACTGCCTGTCTCCTGGAATCTCCTCCATGCCCTAGAGACTGTGCTGGGAGACACAGCAAACCTTCTGGCAATGACACGTATTGATGTGCCATCCTGGAGGAGTTGGACTACCTGTGCAACCTCTGTAGGGTGCAGGTATCACCTCATGCTACCAGTAGTGACACTGACTGTAGCCAAATGCAAAACTAGTGAAAACAATCAGAAAAGAGGAGGAGGGGAAAATGTCAGTGGCCTTCATCTGTTAAACCATTCCTGTTTTAGGGGTCGTCTCATTGTTGCCCCTCTAGTGCACCTGTTGTTAATTTCATTAACACCAAAGCAGCTGAAACTGATTAACAGCCTCCTCTGCTAATTAACTGACCAGATCAATATCCCAGAAGTTTAAATGACTTGATGCTATACCCTGATTGAAAAGTGCTCCTTGAATGTTTTGAGCAGTGTAGTATACTACTACTTATGCATTAGTTAACCACAAACAAAATTTTAGTTAAATACTTATCTCATGTCATCATTAATACATTGTGTGTTTTCTCAAGCAGTTACTGTATTTGTTACTATATCTGTTTATTCTGTTAATCTTACTGAACTACTGAAATAAATACTGAAGGAACTAGTCATGAATAACACAAGTTAATACTGATGTCGTATTTGATCATGATGCATTTTTTGTGTCATAGCAAGTATATTTGTTTATGATTTGTGCTTAAGTAGTAATTGAGTTATAACTAGGTATTTTTGCCCCATCAAGTAAAGTGTTACCAACTGTCCAATGTTAAGGGGTCCTTTTGCCACTCGTAGAAAACTACAGTTCTATGCAAAAGTCTTATGTAGTCGAAGGAAATGCTGAAAGCTGTTTATCCAGATAGTACATGTATAACAGCTCTGAAAAACTAATGACATAACAATATATGCAAATGAACAGTAACATAACAAAAAATAGGAAGAGTTTCTTCTGTTTTCTAAAAAGTTACTTATATCTAGTTGGATGGCTAGATAAACACCGCTTCAAATCCCAAACCTCTCCTCAGGGGCACCTCATCCACTCCTTGTATCTGTTAACATTCACCACCAGCTCAATTAAGTGACTTAGCAAGGAATTGATTAGCCAAACATGGTGTGCTAGTGGTCGAGTCATCAAATACATGGGTGTATTGTATGGTTATTGCGTATAGTGGGGTGAGTGTAGCAGAGGATTTCTCAGTGGCTAAGCTAACACATGTAGACAGATATATTTAGACAGTTTTATACCAACATGAAGATCATTTTAACATCATTTTCTTTGACTGCCTGTCACTTCTGCAGCATTCTGAATAACTGCTGTTAAATTGCATTGTATAATATCACCATGTGGTTGATGTGGCTATTTAGCTTTTTAGCTACATAGCATGAGTGATATTGGCCCTTTTGATAACGTCTCCTTGGAGACCTTGGCTGGCTGTCCATTGTAACCAGCCATACAGGATGATGACTTGCCTTATTACTCTTGTTCTGCCTCATCTGGCAAAAGATGAAATGACCTCTCACCACTAAAACCATGCCGGGATACGTCCTCGCATGCAGCCTAAATGTCAGGGCTGTCTTCTCTCCCAAATGTTTACCTCATTTGTTCTGCTTTCATTTATGCTTCACTTTACCCTGAGCTCAGGTGCTGCTTGACGCTTTCACCACAATAATTTCTCATCCTTTCCTTTAAAAAGCATAAAATGTTTTGTTTTCACTATTTATATTAGTCTTTTCTCATAATTTTATTACCACACTTTATCTGTGACCATTTGCCTTCCTTTATTCCTATGTTTATACTTTAAGTCATTGTTCTGGTTGTGGTAAAGAGCTACGTTTCAGCTCCTGATGACTTATCCATGAATAAATTCACGCTGAGAATTGTTATAGCACCATGAACAGCTGGGTGGACTATAAGCATTAAGCACCAAAGGGACTGCTATCTGTAATCAAATATAACATCAGCATAATGCAGCATGACAAGCATACCTTCAGAAAACTTTTCAAAGGACAACTATGAGTAGCTTAAGCTTCTGTAAGGAATCTTTACTGCAGTTTTTCTCAACCCAAACCTCGGGGATCTCCCGATGGTCCATGTTTTTGCTCCCTCCCCGCTCCCTGCCACACAGTGCATTTTTTCTGAGGTCGGGGGGCTGAGAACAAGTTTGAGAAACACTGCTTTACTGAATGTCTGATATCTTACACATCTACGTGCTTCACTTAATGTCAAAATGTTTTCAGTTAGAGAAAGTTCAGTGTCAATGTTGATTATCGAAATTAATCGTTTGCACCAGCAGGAGGCAGAATCATGGCAAGAAGTTGGGTTTGGGTGCTTAAGAAAAAAACTCGGGGGGGGGCAAAGATGTCTACTGCATTTGAGTTGAACCTTCATGCTATAAGAAGACAAGCAAATAAGCATACAAGATTAAAAAAAACATAGATTCTAGCATACAAGGTAAAAAAACATACATACAAGCATACAAGATAAAAATAACAAAAGAACCACCAGAAAGATCGAACGCTTGGTATCTTTGTAACACATCAGATTAACAGTTCATGCAATCAGCAGCTGACTCCAGGTGTTTTGTGGTGGGAGGGTATCGTACTGCGATGTTTTAGCACCTCCGCAGATTCACCAGCCTTGTTCCTACAAATGCCCCAGATACCAAAACCCAGCCGACCCATTTTGTGCCTGACACTTCATTAGAGTTTAAAAAAAAAAAAAAAAAAAGAGTTTAAATGGGGTCAGACAGGCAGCAGTGAAGCACTGAAGAGACTGAAGCAGTGCTTCATGAGGCCAAGGCAGTCAGACACAGGTGAGCAGCTCTCGCTTCTCCTCTCTTTCTGCGGGATTCCGCTTCCTTTTGGTGGGTTTATAACCGTTTCTGCAACATCCTTTGCATTATAGCTTTGTGTTTTTAAAGTGATTTTGTATCATTCAAGGTCTGACATTCTGTTCCTTTCCTGACAGACCTCTGCCGCTGTATTTCTCGTGTTCAATGATTCAAACTACATTCTCCTGTTTTCACAGCATGCAGCCACTTGGCCCACAATAGGGACTCAGGAGGGGCGTTTTATATAACCCTCAGTATGACTTTGGAAATGGAGGTAGAAAATGCTCATAATGAAGCTGCTTTATTCATGCACAAATCAGACAGAGGTAGACAAACGGGTCTTATTATTTTTCTGAATTTTGTTTGCATAGTGCAGCAAAGGAGCAGAAAGGCAGGCCTGGTCCGCCCTAAAGGCGACATAAGAATCTTTCAGGGCACCATTTGATTGGGGGGGAGTGGGGGTGCAAAAGAGCAAGTGAAAAAAGAAGAGATACCTCTAAGTTGTACTCCATGAGTTTACAGCTATTTACACTAGTTTTAATATTTCATTGCCTTTGTGAAACAGATGGCAGTTAGCTAGTTAGCAGCCACGTACCCTGTGATACTGAAATGTTTTTAATATAAATGAACTGAAAGACTTTGCTTTATGCTGCTCTGGGGGAGGAGTGATCAGCAGAATCTCTCATAGGGCACCAGAACAGCCAGGGCCGGCCCTGTGTCAATGTGTGGCTGCCACTTTACAACATGACTGCTCTTATGAAGTTGTTTATAAATGCTTTATAATCAGATTAGTACTTCGGTTGTAACACTTTGTAAGAAATGAATAGAAAATTATAGTTATAGAGTTATAAAGTTATAACTGTTTTTTATTTATTACTAATGAGTTACTGCCATTTATTAGTGGGAAAGAGAACTTTATTGTAAAATGGTACCAAAGTATGCAGATGTAAGAATACAGGTGTGGAAAAAATGAAGAGACCACAGAACAATTTTTTGTTTGACTCATCTCTCAATTTAAGTGTGTCTATGAATAATATATATTTTTGCATCCTGGTTCTTCTCTGCTTCTCATTAATGAAGGGCTTCTTCCTGGCTTTATAGGCCTGGTACAAACTGTCCTAGCAGTGCACGTCACATCTGCACTTAATGTTCCCCGTTCCTTTTGAAGGTCACTTGATGTCATCCTACGATTCATGAGAAACTGTCAGATAAGTTAATGGTCATGTCTAGCATCAGAAAGTCGCTCCCACCCTCTACCTGGCTGGTATAAACAAAAATAAATACTTTCCATCTGTTTGGGTTTCCACTGGGTGCTCTGGTTTCTTTCTAGTGACCAGTTAGATGAATTGGTGTCTCTGAATTGCCCATAGTGTGTGTGCGCTTGTGTACGTGTGTGTGTGTGTGTGTGCGCACGTGTGTGTGTGTGTGTGCGAGCGTGTGTGTGTGTGTGTTCGTGCCCTGTGATGTTCTGCCATCCTGTCCAGGTCTATTTGATGCTCATTCATTTGATTTTTTCCCCCCCAAATAAAGTCCTGATTTACAATCTTAATGTATATTTTATATTTAGTTACCATCTACTTATCTCTGAAATAAGTAGCAGCAGACAATTTTTTCTTATGCACCATTTCATGTGAAAAGTAGTAAAATGAACTTCACCCACAAAAAACAGCATCCCCAACAGCGGAGAGAGTTTAACAAATAAAATCTAAATTACAAACACTTATCTACATACACCATCTCCACTTACAGTACAATTTGCACTCTTGGTAACAGTATCGTCTTGGTAACGGCATAAATTACCCACAATACCTCATTTCTTCACTTACAGTAGGGGAATCTGAGCTGGATTTTACAACTTCAGGGTTTGCCACTGCAGATAATAAGGGGAATACACCCAGAGGTGGATCCTTCACGTGTACGTGTGAGAGAGGGAGAGAGAGAGGCAGTGGGGAGAGAGGCAGAGAGAGAGGTAGTGGAGAGAGAGGGGGAGAGAGAGAGAGGGAGGAAGGAGCGGTGTCTTCGGAAGTAGAGGACAGGATTACACGCCAAATATTTCCTGGGAAGTGAAAAGGAAGATAGAAACAGAGCAGTCAAGCAGAGGAGCAACAGAACCATGGACTGAATGAAAGTGTCTGCCAATTTGGTGAGTCCCTGACATTCACAAGAAAAAAAATCAGGTTACAAAATCAGTTAATCTCTGTCTACTTTTTCTATATTGTATTATCTGATGCCAATTTAACTCTTTTTCTTGGGTTCAAGGAATTCCCATAAAAAGGGTCAATGAATAATGAAATCTGAATTTATTGGACTCAATAAGAGTAACAAATTGAATTTGTTGCATGGTTTTTAAAGTAGGGAGCTGACTGAAAAAAATGCCAATGTGTATTTTTGGTATTTGTACCTTGTGATTGTGTTTCCACTTCTGAGTGCCATGTCCTTTCCCAGAACTATTCACATCAATTTGCAGTTTGGTATTTCAGTTCTGTCACTGACCTGAGATTACAGTCAAAATCCTATCGGTGAAATGTACCTATTTCTGATGCGCACAGAAGGCACTTTTCCTGGCAAATGCTTTACTACAAGATCAGCTGCAATCCGTAATGAATATGCCAAAAAATACGACATGACAAAATTGGACTTCAAACACTTCCATGTTTAATGATTTATGCTTTTAAAATTGAACACCTTAAAGGCAGAAGATACCCAGCCTTAATCCCAAGGACTCTGCAGCTGCAGATTATAGTACGATATGCCAGAGATGACTGTCTGCCTGCTGCACGGTTCCGATTGCTGCCTTTGCCGTTTGCTTGTTTCTTACATTGTCTAACCAGAACTTAAGCACAGAACTAAAAAGACAGGGAACCTGAAACCAGGAACGTATTTACAGCATGTGAATGAAAGCTGCTAGGATGCTTAAAGAGTCTCATGTAAATGTCAGAAAGACATTCACTGCACGACACTGACGCTGCAGTGTCAACATGACTGTGATCGCTGAGCCAGTGCTTTTGGCATAAGGGCTATGGAAATCCTTCTCGCCAATAACGGGAAGCTGCTTCCGTTCCCCCTGGGGGTCTATCTGATAAGTGAGGTGGCTCTAATGAAGCGATTAATCCCAGTTTCCAATACTCCTTATAAATGAGGTGTGTCAGAAGTGCCAGGACCCCTGTTGCAGGTGGTGACTGATTTGCTCAGCATTCTGCCAGTGGGGATGCTGTGCTGCACTCTGCTATCTCCAGGTGTGAAGGGTGTGCGGGGATGCAGCTGTAAGTACATGTGGCAGGTGCCTCCAGAGCCACAGAGCATCAGCACACAAGCAGAAAATGTGCATTTATACAGAAAACAAATGAGACTTTTTATTGCCGTACAATTATTTTGTATTTATTTCGTTGCTGGATGTGTGTGTTTTGTTAAGTAACATCTGGATTGTCTTGTATATCATTAAGCAGTTTTAACTGGCATCTGTTCATGAAGCCACACTGATGGTCAATAAAAATGATTATTATATTTGTTTTGCAGTAAAAATGATTACAAAAATGCCACGCAAAGTAAGTATTACTCATATTATTCTGAAAAATATAAAGCCATTTGCATGCATAACCACGTGATACAATTTCATAAGTAAAGTCTAAAGATAATCAAAGTCAAAACACTGACATCCCTTTACAAATCAAATATGGTCAATCAAAGTACTGAATACTTATATGACATGCAGGTGGCATGAATATCGGAATCCATGCAGTTTGCAAGGTTAGAAGTTGTATAGCTGAACATTTCTTTGTTTGTGAGTCTATCCATTGTCTGGAACAGACACTATTCCTGCCTAAAGACAAATTAGAGGTGTTTCCAGAGCAAACCCCCCCCCCCGCCCCCCGAGCCAGTGCATTGAACATTGAACAGTGTGATGATATGATCCTGCTGACTGGGATTGGGGAAAAAAATTACTGCAAAAAACTGAAACCAACGTCTACACTGTTATCGAATTCCTGGGTTGATGATGATGGTGATATAAACATCATCATGTCTGACTTTAGTAATGCAATAGTGCAATAGTACTTGACCATTTATATATTTATAGTGTTTAATAAACTCCTGATATGTCCACTATCTGCCACTAACCGTCAGAATTTGCTAGTGATTTATTTAGGCTGACAGTGTCTTGTTAGAAATCAGGCAGTATGTCAGACTTTAGCTCAGATGTTAAATTAAATTTACATTCTATGCTTTTTAAAGAGGGTGCCCCTTTACAAAACAAAATATGAACTCATGGTTTGGGTAAGAATGTATTTTTAGATGGAATGTAGATCAAATCCTTTTTCTGATTTACACTATAGCAGTTGATTGTGACGGTGAAATATCGCTTTTTCAGTTTTTGTGAAAATATTAACGGTAGGTTACTCAAACATAATTTCTTGTATTGGACATAAATGCACCTGCTTCATATCAAAAAACAAACTAACTAGTTAATCAGAAAAAAAAATCTCCTTAATAATCTCAAGGCTAAATGCAACACAGCCTGACACAGCCTTGCCATTGATGAAAATCGACTGTTGAAAATATAGATAATGGCATTGCCCTTCATCCTTCAGTCATTCTCTGCTGGCTTTATTTATGATTGTTGAAGCATGGGAGTGTTACGATAATGATTTTTATTGCACAGTGACTCTCTGCCTGCATATTTCTTAAGGTTTATGAGGTGCTTTGAGCAAAAAAAAATGTTTTTGGTTTCTCATAAAAGATAATCACATCGCTTAATATCGTGGGAAATATGAGGAGAGACAAGGAGCACAGTTATATCCTCAAAATTACATTCTCACGGGGATTTGACAGGCTTAGAGACTGCCGATGGAGGATGATGTATATTTGTCCTCTACAAAGCCAGGACTTTTTGTTTTAAACACAGAAAACTGCAGAGCTTTCAAAATAAAATCACCATTGGACTGACTACCTGTGTAATTGCTTTCTGTTTATAGGTCTATATTCTCTTACCAGAAGTTTTGCATAACATTTGGTCATAAAATTACCTAATACGATGTACTTTCCTGAGAGATATACTTTTCCCACTATATTTAATAGCTATGTAATATGTAATTGTGCATCTGTCCCTGTTTGTCCTTTAAAATACTTTTTCGTATGGTTTGTTGGTTCATTAAGGAATCACTTGTTATACCTAAAAAGTAAATGGATTTTCAATCTGTTACGGTTTAGCATTCATCAGAATTGTCAAATAACAACGCTGCTCCTGTTAAACGGTATTAGATTTATACATTAAAATTGAGCATCAATGCAGAAACTGCAGTGTGGGATTATGGCATCTCCATCTCAGACTGGTGTAGCCACATCGCTAATAAACCCGCAGGAAGGTTTGGATGACATCACATCTTGGATGGAATTAGCATAGACCCGCCCCCAGGCTGTGTTATCCTCCTGCATGTATTCTTAAACTATAATAGTCCATAATGCTTTTACTTATCCTTGCTATAGGATGTCTGGACAGGAGACAGAGAGTAATGTGTTTTTCCTGCTTCACCAGCCAACAATGGCTGACCAGGAAGACATCAGCAAGCTGGGAGGACACTGGAACATGTCGGACAGCTACCAGCGCAACCCAGCAGCGCTGATCGTCTCGGTGGTCTTCTCCCTCATCTTCCTGCTCGGCACCGTCGGGAACATCCTGGTCCTGGCCGTCCTCCTCAGGAACGGGCAGATGGGACACAACACCACCAATCTATTCATCCTCAACCTCAGCGTGGCCGACTTCTTCTTCATCATCTTCTGCGTGCCCTTCCAGGCCACCATCTACTCACTGGAGGGCTGGGTCTTCGGCTCCTTCATGTGCAAGGCTGTGCATTTCTTCATCAACCTCACCATGTATGCCAGCAGCTTCACCCTTGCCACCGTCTCTGTTGACAGGTATTAACCAAACGCGATATACGGTTCGTCTTTCAAAGCCTACAAATAAATTCAAACAAATACAAAGTTACATTCGATATTCTACAAAAGCATAGTACGTTTGCCCCAGATACATAAATATTTACAAATCACACAAAAAAGCTTCTTTTACATTTGTTTATTTAGCTTTTTATTTATTTAGGCTTTTGTTTAAAGTGGTATACATTAAAGTGGTATACATTAAATATGGTACATTAAATACCTACAGCTGCTGAGGAATCCACTAAGTATAAATAGCAAAGCTGAGCTTTCAATTAAGGCCCAATAACAAGTGTGAGTAATATTACTTATATAATACTCAGTTGTGAGGTAGCCTGCTGGGGCCGTTACCCAACAACTGCAAATGTGCGACTCCATGGAACGGCCAGGCCAGGCTGGCTTTCATCGGCGCAGACGTCTCCTCCCATTACCAGAACATTCTCCTCAAGCTCCAGTCATTAGGGCCAAAGTGCTATCAGCTTCTTAGAATTCAGAAATGTATTATTAACATCTAAGCGTGTCCCTCAGAGAAGCGGTGAATTAAAACGCCAACAGGGAAAGCTTGGACGCCTTAGTCCTTAGGGGGGGCTGGGAAAAAATGTAGGGATGATGGGGAGAGATGCAGGTGCAGCAGTCGGGCTGCAGGATTATACAGTTTGAGTGAGGAACGCCCTCCAGGAACATCTTTTATTCATGACTCATCTATAGGGCCGTCCTTTATCCCGATGGGCGTTCTGACAGGATATAAATTACACTACCTTCGTTTTTGTAGCTCTGCTGTGCTGCTATTAAGAATTCATCATGGCTAAAAAATGTTTACAAACAATCACTGCAACCCTACAATAGATAACCAGTGGAATGGAGGAATGAATTGGTGGAAGTTTACAGTCAAAATATACAGTGCGTGTGTGTGTCTGTGTGTGTGTGTGTGTGTGTGTGTGTGTGTGTGTCTGTCTGTGTGTCTGTGTGTGTGTGTGTGTGTGCGGGAGGTTGCATAGATCACATCTGCATTGATCACACAGTGTGTTAAAACGTGAAACTTCCTTACTTTTGTGGACATTTTTCAGGTCCCCATTTAGATGACACAAATTTTACAAAACTCTGCAAATACAATCAAAAAACTAAAAATGTCAAAAGTCCTGTATTTTGTTTGGTTACTTATGGTTAAGGTTAGGGATGAGTAGGGGTTAAGGGTGTCGTGATTGGGGTTAGGGTTTTTCCCATAGAAATGAATGGAGAGATGGCTATTGAGATAGGTATGGCAACATTGTGTGTGTGTGTGTGTGTGTGTGTGTGTGTGTGTATACATATATCTTAAGGTCTGGCCTTCATCAGAATCCCCACCTCATCAAATCCAATTCAAATTCAAATCCCATGATTAGCAGAGTGATTTCACCATTGGACCCTTGAGTCTGACCCTTAACCCCAATTCCTCAAAAGACTGCCTGTTCCTGCTCTTTCATTCGTATGTCACTTTGGATAAAAGCATTTGCTAATTACTTGACACCAATAATACTGAAGAAAATCTGTACTGTTGATACAATGCCTGCATGTTTAGGTCCATGCTGCTGATGTTAGCCCAGTGCTGTAATAACTGTAAGGCCGTTTCTCTGTGCTGCACAGGTATCTAGCAATCCGCTATCCCCTGCGCTCCAGGGAGCTGAGGACACCGGTGAACGCTGTAGCCGCCATGGCGGTGATCTGGGGCCTCTCGCTGGTCTTTGCCGGGCCGTACCTCAGCTACTATGGGCTCATTGACTTCGCCAACGGCAACGTGTGCGTTCCCAGTTGGGCGGAGTCCAACCGGAAGGTCCTGGACACATGCACCTTTGTTTTCGGTTACGTCATCCCCGTACTCATCGTCAGCCTCTCATATACCAGAACTATAAAGTACCTCTGGACTGCCGTGGACCCTCTCGATGGCATGTCTGATTCCAAGAGAGCGAAGCGCAAGGTGACTAAGATGATCATCATTGTCACCGTGCTCTTCTGCATCTGCTGGCTCCCCTACCACGTCGTCATCTTGTGCTACCTCTATGGTGACTTCCCCTTCAACCAGACCACCTACGCCTTCAGACTACTCTCCCACTGCATGGCCTACGCCAACTCCTGCCTCAACCCCATCGTCTACGCCCTGGTGTCCAAGCATTTCCGCAAGGGGTTCAAGAAAGTGTTTAGCTGCATCCTCAGTAAGAAAGGCAGGAACAGGGTGCACGTCATGCATGTGGTCAACATGGCTCCCGGGTTCGAGGCTGCGTCGACGGAGGTTTCTCAGATGAATGAGGAGAACGCTCAGCCCAACGGCCACGAGGTGGCCGATTCTCCCGTCGCTCCCCAGGTAGCTCCGCTGACTGTCACTTTGCCGTTCCAGAGGACGCCATCAGAAAAACTCAAATAAGATATGAGGCCACTGCGGCACAAAGGAACATGCCGAACTGAAAGTGGCAGAACATGTGACAGTAGTTTGTGATGGTCTAGTGTGACAATATTTCCAACAGGTTTGTTCCATTTTTCACATATTATGCAACTTCTGTATAATGAATAGCTTATTAAACTGAACAACTTTGGCATGCCAACAATAACCGTATTTTTATCTTTAAATGAAATTTCTCTGCAATGGCATTCCTGAAAATGTTACATTAATTGAAAATTCTACTAATTACAATGACCACTATGATACATTCTAAATTGTTTTGGTACTTATGCTTATATATGTTTCACCAATAAAACTGGATTCAATGACAAATTGGAACAGAATCGGAGATCTCGCCGTCTTCTGATCAATCTGTCCAAGAAAATCTGGCCATCACATGAAAAAAACAACTCTTATTATTTAAATGAAATGTTCAAACTAGTTGTTATTTCCCCATCACCTGTGAGTCAAGCGTCTGTCTATTGCAGTGCAGTAATGTTGTTTTTTTTTTTAATAACAAAGCCCTTTTCTTCTGCCTGCCGCAAAATAACATTTAAATATTAATTAAAATCATTTCTGGCACTAATTTTTTGCAATTTTTCCATCATTTAACCATAATCACGTAGCAGTACATGTTATGATGAGCTCGGGCATGAGGCAGGGCTTACAGTGAACCAGCATGACACACTGTCATCACAAATAAGACACGAGTCTTCATTGTCACTGCATGTCATATAGCAGCCCCCCCCTCCCTAGCCAACAGAACAGTATGCATAGACAAGGACCATGAATATAGAGACACACATGTACATACTTAGAAATACACAATAAACAAGAAGTATGAGAGCAGTAATGTATACAGTGCTCACAGAAAGTCTAGGGACACTTGCTTAATTCTGTAAAAATGTTGCTAATTTATTGGTTTCGTGACAAATTCCATTGACAAACAATGTGTAACATATTTGCATACACACTATATAAAGAAAAGTTTGGAGACACCAGTCTGTCCAACATCTCACGCTGAATCAAATGGTATTAATATGAAGTAGGTTCACCCTTAGTTGCTATAACAGCCTGTACTCTCCTGGGAAGGCTTTCCATTAGATGATAGAACATTGCTGGTGGGATTTACTGCCGTTCAGGTTGGGTATTAATGTTGGGTCCCTTTCTGTGTGTCTGAGTGGCTGTCATTTCATAGCTGAACTTGCTCCCAGATGTTTCCACTTCACAATCACTTCACTTGCGATTGACCAGGGCACCTCTTGCAGGACAGAAATGTGGAGAACAGACTTGTTGGAAAGGTGCCCGATGGCGTCCAATGATGGTGCTCGGCTGACCGACCTTCTCTGCATGACCCCCCCAATCCGCTGCCATTGTTTGATGCTGCAGATTGCATGTCTGCGTGCTTAATTACACACCTGTATGTCAACAATGGGTGTGACTTATGTGACTAATTCCTGCAATTACCACGGGTGTCCCAATATTTTTGTCCATATAGTGTATCTTCCGCACAGTTTTGTTTTTATTAAGTGGCATAATTTTTTCAGTTTTGTCCTTGCTATTTTGCTATTAATTGCAACTGTACTAATTGGCTCCAAGAGGGATTCTGAACTGAACACAAATATTTAGTGTTTTATGTTATTACAAATGTCTTACTAATGAAAAACACTCCTAATGATGCTTGTATATGCTTTTAGAATTATAATTTGGGTTTCAATTTAATACTACTTGAAATGAATGTTTTACTAAATACTACTGGAAGTTTCCAATGTGATATACAGTATATATACAGTCATGTGAAAAAATTAGGACACCCCATTAAATATTTAGTTCTTTATTAAGAAATCGCAACATATCAGTATTAAATCTTCTTTCAAATTATATCTGTTGATGACGGTGATAAAATTGCATCATCTATGCAAAAACAAGAAAAAAATTCACTTATTTACGAAAAGAACTTAACTAAGATCCTAATTTCCACTGAGGAAAAAGTTAGGACACCCTCACATTCATCACAATTTAAAATTCCTAGAATTAGATTCAGGAAGGATATAAAAATATCTCAAGAGAGTTTGGAATCAGCCATTCCGCTGTCCCGAAAATAATTTACAAGTGGAGAACATTTAAAACAACCGCCAGCATGGCCAGGACAGGCTGTCCAAGCAAGTTCAGGCAAAGAACCGACTGCAAGATGCTGAAATAAGTCTCCAAAAATCCTAAAATGTCATCACGGGTCATACAGGAAGCTCTTGCCACAGTTGATGTCAAGGTACATGCATCTACCATCAGACAGAGACTGCACAAGTTTGATTTTCATGGGAGCTGTGCAAGGAGGAAACCCTTGCTATAAAAAAAACTTCTGGGGAACACTGAAGTTTGGCAGAGACCACCTAGACAAAGACTGGGACTTTTGAAACAACATGCTTTGGACAGATGAATCTGAAATTGAATTATTTGAGCGCAGTAACAGAGGACATGTTTTCCGTAAACCAAAGACAACTTTTGAGCAAAAGAACCTCATACCAACTGTGAAGCATGGGAGTGGAAATGTCATGGTTTGGGGCTGCTTTGCTGCAGCAGAACCTGGCCAGCTCACCATCATAAAACCCACTATGAATTCTTCATCATAGGGTGCTTGAGGACAATGTGAAAACATCTGTCCAGATGTTGAAGCTGAAGTGGGGGTGGACCATGCAAATGAGAATGACCCAAAACTTTCCAGTAAATCTACCAAAAAATGGCTTACAAGAATAAATGGAGAGTTCCGGAATGGCCAAGTCAAAGCCCGGATCTGAATCCTATTGAGATGCTGTGGGGTGATTTGAAGTGTAAGTGCATGCAGGACACCCTTCAAACATCACACAGCTTAAGGTATTCAGCGTTGAAGAGTGGGGAAAACCAGCCAGTCGATGTCAGAGATTGATAGATGGTTATAGGAAATGTCTCATTTAGGTTATTGCAGCCAAAGGGGGAAATACTAGTTATTAGGGCGCAGGGTGTCCTAACTTTTTCCTCAGTAGGAATTGGCATCTTAGTTAATTTCCTTTGTTAAATAAGTGAATATGTTTCTGGTTTTTGCATAGCTGATGCAATTACATCAGCTCTATCTACTGATATAATTTGAAAGAATATTTAATGGGGTGTCCTAATTTTTTCACATGACAAACATATATATATATATATATATATATATATATATATATATACTGACAAAAACACTTTAAAAAATGTTAAAGTGCTCTAAACACTATATATTCCACTAGAGGCTCTGTGCTTGAGCCAAAACGTTTTCGATGGCTTTGCGCACTTTGTCATACAGGTCGGGAATTATAACATCGCTGAAATGTATAAGGCAGGGCACAACATAACGTGGGTCGAGCGTTTTAATTAAGTGGCGAAACCCCGCATCTTCGACAACAGAAAAGGGTTGCAACTCTTAATGCACCAGATCACTAACATCACTCCTTCAATCCTCCCCTCACTGCTACAGTATCTTTTTAAACTTATGGTGACCATAAGTATGTATGTGTGTGTGGGTGTGTGTGTGTGCGTGTGCACGTGTGTGTGCAGATTTCTTCCATACAGTCATGTCACTGCTGCTACTGACTATGGCTCTGTGCAATATCTTGGCAAATGTGCAATTACCAACCTACCCAATGTACTTACTGTATCTATGACTAAAGCCCTCCCCCCTTATTTATTATATTTATGACACCCTTGCATATACCCCCCAATGTCTCTTGTACCTATACATTGTGTTTACTGTGGTTATTATTCTTATATCTTGTACTGACACTATCTTGCATCTTTGTGGTCTTGCCAGCTAATTTCGTTGTCCAGGCAACTGTACAATGACAATAAAAAGTCTTGAAGTCAAATCTTTAGCAATGAACGTTCCCACTGCACGGGTTATTTTCGTATGT